ATTTTTTTTTATTGTTTCGTTTGGCCAATTATAAAGAACCTTGTTAAGGTGCAAGTCGCCCCTTTCACAGTGCCTGTCTACCCAGGAGTATAAATGGGTACCTGCGAACTGTCAGGGAACTTTACAAAATGCTCAGTAGGGGTTAACATGCGTTGAACTCCTCGTCCTTGCATGTTAAGCCACTTGACACGTGAAGACTTTACTATTATACCATATTTTACTGGCGATATCTGTGTGGAAGCCTTAGTCAGTGATCGCCCTCTGGAAGTACTGGCACTATTTTTGTCTCTGAATGCCGTTTCTGTGGAGGGTTCTTTCCTAGGAATTTGGCTCAATTCCATCACACACTGATGGTAAATAGCTTCATCGATTTCCAGGTGAAAGTCATCATCAACATAACTGATAGAACCCTCGGTTCTTAGCTTACACACAACTTGATCCAACTTAACCATGCCAGTGAACTCATAGTGAAACAACAAACAGTCCTCTGAATCTGGAGAGTATATGTGCATTTTTGCTGCATCACAGGGTTGGTATGGTCTCCAGTCTTGCACCAACATTGTACCTACTAGTCAAACTTGTTCCAGTATTGAGCCTAGGATTTTATCCATTTCGCTGTCTAAATTATCGTTTTACTTGTTACTCACACGGATGGCCCGTGCAAGAAAATAATTTGCCGGCGAATTTATTCACGCCATGACAGCCGGTCACTATGATGCTTCATTACTGTTCAATAGCCTTTCATTGCGCGGTTAAAATAGAAGCTAACACAGTTTTAGAGTAAAAGCCTTACAAACACACAAACAAATGCATATGTAGACCTCCTCAATCGATGCTTACGAATAGCAAGAGGTAGTCAAGGTACATCTTTTATAGGCAATGTCTGGAGACACGAGAATAGTAATGAATAATCATGTATGAATAATTACAAAGTTAACAATTTACTTACATTTGTGTTTTCGCCGTTTCTTGTCCTCCACCCTCTCCTCGTCCATAACGCGTTATATCAACCAGTACAGAAGGTCAAACAATATTTAGCAGCTGAAGTTAGATCGCGCAGTAAGCTCGAGAAACTAACGGATGATCGCCGATGAGAAGCTATGAGATGTTTGAAGCTAGCTGACCGGAAGTTGATGAGAGCGCGTGACCTCGAAAGTAGCTGAAAGTCAGGTCGTGATAGGCCGTAAAAAGGTCGAAATGTTAATGCATAACTAAATAGTTAGCGTTTATCTGTGACTGCTATTTGGTAGTTCAAATAAACTACAAGTTATTGATTGTAGAATAGTTTTTACCACTTCCCTAAATGAGATCCAGTTTCAAGTGACCAAGAGCGCGTCTCGGGCTCGGAGTTTTGCATAATTAAGGTCTCGGGCTCGGTTTTCTCTGCACTGAGTCTCGGGCTCGGATTTTCCGAAATTGTTTAAGTCTCGGTCTCGAATTTTTATACAACGGTCTCGGCGTCTCGGCAAGTCTCGGATTTTACCATTCGCCACCCCTTAGATTATTCGCTTTCGATTTCTGTGCGTGATAGTTGACTTTCAACTATCACACGATAGAAATCTCGAACTCATATTCTAATTGTTTAATAGTTAATCTTCATGTACGCTGTACAATACATTAATGGGCATCCTCACAAAATAATTGCTAATTACTTGCTGGCTCTTAATAATCCAATCCAACAAAAATATGTAGTTTTAATTGCGGTCATACAATGTCACTCCGCCAAATTTCAGATGCTGACCAGTGTTTTCTTTTTCCCTTCAAGGAAAGCCTGCCTTTGTTGTTCTCACATTTCCAAGCCCAGGTAGTTACATTGTACAAGTAGAGCACACATACAGTGTTTGTACATACATTCAGAGGGGAACAGTATTCATTTAGCACAGTGGTGATGTGAGATTGGTTGCATCCTACTATTGTGCCCTGGGTTTGATTCCAGCATGACCGCTGTGTGAAGATTTAGTTTTCTGTCACTTCTTGCCTTCTGTCACTTTTTGCTCTGAGGGTTTTCTCTGAATACTCCACTGTTCGTAATTCTTCCTAAGGGAGCAACTGTTACATTTTCAAATCCCAGTTCAACTTGGAAAGGGGACATGCTTGAATACCAGCAAGCCGAGGCAGATGTGGTTTGACCTCTCCATAAAATAAGTATAATTGTTTATGCAGTATTTTATTTTGTTTACCTCATTCCATTAGTTTTAATGTCTAATTTTACCTGATAAAGTTACATAATTTGAAATGTGTGGCATTCCCATCAAGACGTTTTTCTGATACATTGTTATCCTCAGAGTTGCAATCAGTAGATAGTAATAAAATAGTTATTTTTCTTTAATTTGTTACCAGGGATTTGATACAGCTATGTATGCGTCGTCATGGTTCTTGACGCTGTGTGCATCTGTGTTTCCTTTGAATGCAGCCTTTAGGATTATGGATGTCTTCATCTGTGAGGTACATTGTAAGAGAGGTGATGGGTAATTGTAGGTTTGTGCTTTCCTTGTATTGCACATGTAAGTAAGTAAGTTAGTAAGTAAGAAACTTTATTTTATGAGGGTGACACGTAACAGTAACTATTACATTACTGATGAACTTGTGGCCCTCTAAAAATAAAAAATACAAATAATGAAAACTACATCGGCAATAGATATTGTTAACAATAGAAATGAAAATACAAATATTTCTAGAATTTGATAACGGGACAAATCGGTTTAAAACGAAGAGCATGCAAACATCTATCTATTGTCATTAATTTATATCAGACGATCGCTTTGTCTTCTGAGAGTTTAGCACTATTTTCCATTATTCAGCCTTAAAGGATTTCAAAGACTTATTTGTCTTTAGTGATCGAGGTAAATTGTTCCAATCCTTTACAGTTCTTACGGCAAAGGGCGTCCTCCCTCCGAGATATTTCTGTGAAGGGGGCACAATAAATTTACATTACAATTTCTCGTGATTCTTGAGTGAGCATCGGAGTTTTTCTCAGAGGTGCGTTTAAATAGTCGGTTAGAGTACCGTTTATTCGTTTATAGGCCAGTTCACATCGCTTTATACACACTGGCACACACTATAGTAGTGTAGTAACCAATGCTTCAGGTTAGAAACTCGTGTGTAAAAGTGACCCTCTGAAGTCAAGGTCCAAGGGGTACTGGCAAAAAATTGATTGGAGTCATTATTGGACACATAAAAAAATGTGACCTCTCACGCGAAAACGTTCCGTACAGTTTCCGTTGGAACTGCTGAACGCACGGCAAGTAAACGGATAAGAAACGGGTCCCCAAACCGTCCAAAACAGATACATTGAACGGCTGAACGGCTGAAGAAAATTTTTGAACGGATGATGCCGAATGGTTGGACGGCTTACAATGATGGGTGCTGAGGTGCCTGTAATGTACCAGCATCACGTCATGTGTGTGTAGGGACCTGCACATTGCTGTATGGAAAGGGACCCCTGCCATAAAATGCAAGCTACGACATTATTTTAGTCACAATCTTGGGTTGTACTTGTAATTTAGCAACTTTATATCGGTACTCATGTAAACTTTGATAGTTGAACTAATCAATGTGAGCTCAGTAATTGTAATTGCCTTTTAGGGAAGGGAAGGGCTCTTTCGTGTCATCTTGGCGATGCTTACTCTAGGCCAAGAGGAAATACTAGAACTTGATATTGAAGGAATGCTGAAGGTACGTATTTGGCTCAGTTACAGTACTTTGATTCACTTCTAGTTCTTTGATTATCGTAGACTGGAGGTACACACGTACAGTATCTGATGACGTTCTTTGTTGCTGGCTTGTTAGTACTTTCAGAAAACAATGCCTGGAAAATACGAGAAAGACATGAATGTTCTGATGAAGGCAGCAGCTGAAGTTAAAGTGAGCTCAAAGAAATTAAAGAGGTACACGTTCATAACTTGTGCAGTCCTTGATACAAATCAGCTTTACTTTTTACATCTGGTTTACTTGTGCTATTCGTGTATGATTTAAGGAGGATTGTAAATGTTGATCATGTGAGCAGCAGATTGTACACTGTACATGCACGTTCCCTGTCTTGAGGGTCTTTAGAAATAATCCTGCTTATTCATGTATCGGTACAGTAGCATTTTGTACAGTTTCTATTCTTTGCCAAGAGGCTTTGTGTTTGCTTTGTTTTTAGGTTAGAAAAGGAGTACACTCGTGTGAAACACAAGGAAGCGGAAGACAACGAAGAACTACGACGTCTGAAAACAGAAAACAGACTGCTGCTTCAAAGGATAGATGAACTGGAGAAAGTAAATGAATAAACTAGTTAATTTTGTGTGACTGCTTTCCTTTCTGTCTTGGATGAGTCGATCCATAATCTGTCCAATTGCATATACCTTACATTATTTTCTTTCAACGCCATTAGATTATGAGCTCGAGATTTCCATCGCGTGATGGTTGACGAGGGGGCAGCCCGAATTAACACGCATGGAAATCGAGAGCGAATAATCTAACTGTTTTAGTATACATGTATACCTATTAGCCGTTCAAAACTTTCTCTAAATCCTTTTCACAGACACTTAAAAAATGCAAATAAGCGCACACGCCTGGGCTACTCACTATCTACAACAGAATAGATAGTGAGTAGAGGGGCCAATCAGAGAACGGCATTCTTGATAGAATGCTTTTAGATTTATACTAATACGAGTTTGGATGCTAATAGGGTCAAGTCCAGGAATAAACTCTGTGCTTGTAGTCCTTATTTTTATCGTACGTTCTAAAGTAAAACTACAGTGCATCTGTGTGATCATGTTGTTGAAACTCATGTGACTTCTCTTACTATCATGAATTTTGTCTTTTGTTGGAGACGCATCATTTTATCGTTTTCTTTCTTTAAACCAAAGGCATATGTAACTTTTATTCGGTCTCTGTTTCACAGGAGGGCGCCAATCTGGCTGATACATTAATTCAGGTAACATGTTTTTCGTTTTCTTTGAGTTTGTGCAAGTAATTTTTACATTAGACATACAAACATTGTACCCACTCAAAGTTACTGCACGCAATTACTTGGATGGGAACGTGTAAAGACAAATTTGTCCATCGTCATCACACCATTGGACGCATAAGGCCTCTTAGTTTCTGTAGTCGGAGATTTAAGTCTTAGAAGGTGACTTACCCTATGCATACTTATCATATTCCCATACACTTCCATGTATATGTATTCGCCGGCTTGTTCATTGTTCCTGCTAAGCGTTCACAGCTACTGTAGCAATCTGGGACAAAGGTCCGACTCCACCTCGCCCTGACGGGCAGTCCCACCTAGAAACTGTTTCTTTTCTCCTACAAAACCCTGATGGAACATATACGTAGGGGTTGGTCTTAGCTTTGGAAGGCAAAAAAAAAAAAAAAAATCCTACTGTCTGGATTTGAATCAGTGCGCAAAGAGTAAAGCACAACTTTAGTATTTCCGCACTCTATCAGCTGAGGAAACTTACAATAGTTATGTTCTACAGTTCTCATACTGGATTTTCATTAAACATTCTTCTCTGAATGTTAGGGTCAAATTATTCGAGCGGAGGAACAGGAAGAAATCTACGCCCTCAAACGAGATCTTGTAGTTTTAAGAAGGCGNACTCTATCAGCTGAAGAAACTTACAATAGTTATGTTCTAGAGTTCTCATACTGGATTTTCATTAAACATTTTTCTCTGAATGTTAGGGTCAAATTACTCGAGCGGAGGAACAGGAAGAAATCTACGCCCTCAAACGAGATCTTGTAGTTTTCAGAAGGCGCGATGAGGCAACCACAGTGGCTCTTTTAGAAGCCAACAGACGAATAGAAGAACTCACGATGTTCAAGGTTTTAATTTATGTGGTTTTTATTAAGTTAACTGTGAGAATCGAGCATGTTGACTGGTTCATATCCGTAGTGATAGGGGCTGTAAGTCTGTCATGAGCAAGGAGGCACAGAAATTAATCAAACAAATCAATAAGGCAACAAACTTCGTTTTCCATATTTTGCTTTCATATAACCCTTTGACTCAGAATTTTGGCGCAGAAGAAGCAGTAATGATGAGTACATTTATGAATTCTACATGTAACAGTACTTTACACAAGAAGTCCATCAAGCGGAAAAACAAACAAGCGTTGCTCAAAAGGCGAAGCACTAACTTAAGGAACTGGTTTTGTTTCCTGTGCAAAAGAAAAGGCTATTTCAACGGATGTCTTTCTTTGTAGAATCACATTATTAACGAGATGAGTGGGCGACAGGATGACTCTCCTCCCTCTCCACGTGACGTCAAGATCATTGCACTGGAGGCAGAGCTGGAAGAGTATAGGCAGAGAGACTTGAAAACAAATCAAATCATCAATGATTTGACGAGGAAGTCACGAGATTTAGAAACTGAGGTTTGTTTTGTGCACTTTATTTCATGCTCAGTGGTTTGTTTAGGGTGGTGAGTTTGAGAAACTTTTGATGATTTAGTTACTAGACAACTTATAAATTGAACAAGATTATACCTTATATTTTCTACTAAATGCAAAGATTCAGTCCAGTGTAACTTGCATACATGCACAATCACTCTCATCCCAAACCATAGATTGCAATTTGTTCAGCTCGCCAAAATCACCAGTCGTTGATTGTAGCTTTAACTGATGTCATCCATTTTTCAGCTTTACCTTGCAAAGGATGAGACAGGGAAAGCGTCTTTTCCTCAAGGGTCTTTTATTGGGTCAGAGGTAAATGTTGATGAAATTACTACAACAACAGAGAATGGCTCCTTTGAGAGCGAGGCAAGCTGATTGGGGCCATTAATGCTGGAGCGGTGAGGCGTTTTATAGTCACAGTATTTGTACAAACATGAATCTGAATTGTCCCTTGAAAGGTCTTAAGACTAAAAGCGTGTAATGGCACCAGGTTTAATTGGTACTGTTATAAAGTAAAACTTGTTGAAAAATTGGCCAAATGGCGCATAAGTTTAATAAATTATGTAACAAAGTTATCGACAGTGGCAAGATCCGGTTCGATAAGTTTGCCATTTACTCTCAATGTTTATTTTGAAATAGTTCAAAAATAATTTCTTTGTTTTACTTGAATTATACGATTTCGTTCATGGCAAGAGATTTGCATAATGAAATAAGTTTGGTCTGCGGCTTGATGCCAAGCACTTAACTGTACCCTACACTGAAGTGAAAATCTTAAGATGCGGGACAAACTGATTGTTCCATAAATGAGAGTTGGAAAAAGTTGTGGTCTGTCACTAGCAGAGAGGAGACAATTTTGAAAGAAATTCCATTAGTTTTCCTTTAGTTGTAATCCTTATTCACAAATGTCAATTTGAACATTCTCGTTGGTCACAATAATTATACTGGCTTGTCAGTTTTCGATTGCTCTGTATCTCACCATGTACACTTTCATTTTGAGCTGATTGCGATGGGCACTTAAAATGTCTTGACAGACCATCTTTGAAAACAATCATTAATTTTTCAGTAATCACAAAGATTTACAACATTTTTCCCAAGAATTTCCCTAAAAAATAAAACCGGATTTTAGCGAGGTAATTGAACTGGCGAGTTCCCCCAAGTGCACCGGTTACGGAAGTAAACTGTCTTATACGAAATAAGTAGAGCAATTGAAAGTTATGAAAGTTGCAAAAAAGGGAACTTAAATATGAATGGGTAACTTAAGATAGTCGTAGCCATTCCTGTTTTGCTGAGTAAAGAATTTAAATTTTTGGTAATTAATATTTTCAAACTAATGGTTACAAACAGGAGGGATCCCTCCTGGTTACAAATTTGATATTAATAGAGTATTATTTTAAGAATTATTTCAGTAATATTAAATTTATTGAGAGCATGGTTTTGTGATAGCTCAGTTTGTCATTAAGATGTATCGACTTTTATTAACTTTTACAAAATACCATGTTCAAAGGAAATGAAGGAGAGTTAGTTCTCTGCGGTAAAATAGTACTAATATTTCAGTGTCCATGGAAAAACAAAACCTGTAACCCTTTGTTAAAATTTACTTTACTTCAAGGAGATCACATGTCTTTGATGATAGACAATCGAAGATGTACTTGGTTATTTTGTGTTGTATGAGATGTTTTTTTTTAATCAAGATATGTGATGTTGATATTTATTAGTCTAAAATCCCTGAAAGACACTCTAGATTGTGTCAAGTAAACAGAAAATACAACTCTTACCCTTGATTCAATTAGCCAACAAGCAAATTCTGTTCACGTGTCAAAATAATGATGCTTATTGTTGTACAATGTGGGAGAATTTGACTATGTATTAAATTACATGTGTGTACAAAATTTTACTTGACTTCGTTAAGGAATTGCCCATCAGTCTTGGTGGAACATTGCTGTTATTCATTAAATCTACTATTGATAATCTGAACCTGTATTCTAATCACTTTCAGGTGTGATGTTTTCGTTGTTAGTGTGGGGTGTGGTGGGGTGGGGGGTATTAGATGCTGTTCGCCCGTTGAGCTGAAAGGCTTGTGTAAACAAGAGGACGTTTTGAATTTTTAATTTATTTCAACACAGTTGACAATTACAGCAGTGTAAATGATTAAGCTGGACTCTACTGGGGTAAAGCTGATTGCTGCAAGGAGGCGGAGAGCTGAGAATAGAAGGAAATAATAAAACAGTTTAATTATAGGGTGCTGTACCAGTGTCATTTATCTCCGAAACAGTGTATAAATCACATCGCATAATTTATACATACGTAAAGAACAACTGTATACTGCTTGAAGGTGCAGGCAGAAGACGTTATTCTTGCATGCTTCGTTTGTGGGGAATGTTCTCATAGTTTTAGGAAGAACCTATAACCTAACTCTAGTGCATATTATGCACGTATTTCTACCTTCCAGGCTGCGCAATTTAAGTATATGCGCGCGCATATCTGAGTACCGCGCACACGGCCACATTGATTGGTTGCCAGCTCGACAATTTAAAAATGGCCTTGAGCTGCGCTGCGGTTTTGTTACGTGCAACCTTAATCTTAATGAGTATAGGTAATAGGTAATCATATGAATGCGAGTGCAATCAAGGATTTACACTACGAGTGAGGTTTGAAAATGTTCTCAAAATTGCACGAGCCTTTAGGATGTAATACTGTTACCTTACTACGGTCAGACTTTGCAACCATACAGTTCAACCCTCATGCATGGATATGAGGACTTCCCAACAAGGATCTTAACGTATCTGGCTTTGACGGGGGTGAATGTATTCAACACCGGTGTGAAATGATCACAGTTACCAATGAAGTTCTAAAATTGTAAAAACAAAATTTTATCCCATGTTAACTGTTGACAGCCTAGCTAAACGCCTGCGTGTAAAAATTACGATTATAATCCCCCTTCCCGAAAAACAGAAAGCCCTCGGGAATCTTCCTTTTCCCTCTGGAATATAAGCCCGTGGGGTGTTTAGACGTCGAATCGAAGTACAAATAATGCCATCCGATTGAAAGTGTTTGTTTTGTATTAATATTGTTACTGGCACTCAGTGCGATGCTCTCAATGTTAGTAGCCTAACCTTTTCCTTTCCATTTTCTTGGTAAACCTGGAAGTTAGATCCATCATCACTGAAGGCCAGTTTGTATTCTTTGACGTGCTCGTGGAAAACGTCACGACCTTTAAAAATAGTTTTGCAAAGAAAAAAGCGCAGAGTCAGTACTTGTTTGTATATTGTTTACACGAATAACTGGTATTGACACTCATTGATTTCCCTGTATCACTCCGTAACTCTCATTGACTTTTTCGACTCGCGAATGTTGGCTCGAGTCAGTTTATAGTCAGTCCTGTTATGTTATAAGCATTTCTTTTTGTAATTGCGCGACTTTAAGCTTATGTGAAGACCAGTGAAAAAGCTTGGCAAACGCATAAACGAAAGCAAACACTCAACGTTGAAAGAAATCAATGCCACGTCAGAGAAAACACGAATGAGTTAGCTGTATGGTTTACCTTGCGTGGCGATAGCTCTAACTTTCTTGGCTTTGCCAAGGTCAATCTGTAGCCACTGGTTGTCTCGATCAGTTGCACACCACGCTCCAATTCTTTTGTTGTCTTGATCGTCCTCAAAGTAAAGACGTGCATTGTCCGCCGATGCCCTCCAACCAGCTATGCAACGCAAAATTGTAAAAAGTAAAGATGAACGTTAAAAGTTTATGTTACTGGATAGCTTTAGGTAAAATGGCGTTAAGTAAAACAACGAAACAAGTAACACGAAGACGAAACAAGCAAGAACTTCTTATCTGTAAGGACCGCGTTATTAGTAACGAACTATAACAATGGTTACACTTAGGGTGTGCACCAGGCATCTATGCGCTGGAAAGATATAATTACTTGAAAGAGAAAAAAATAGATATATAAAATAAAATAAACAAGCCCCCCTTTCCCCCCCCAAAAAAAAATATACAGCGCGCGATTACAATGGCGTCCATGGTCAACTATTCTATAAATCTAGGGTAATTACAAACTCACTTGGTCTGTACTCTGTCGATGCACTGAACGCACTGTCCGGAAGTTTGTAATTTCCAGGCCATCCTAGACCGAAGGCTTCAGAGCAGGTTCCTGTGTAGATTTAAAAGCAATGGCAAGGAATCGTTTAAAAAATGGCAATATGCTACTAGTTTGCCTTTGTCAGAAAACAGAAGGTTAGCGCAATTTTAAAATACCCTTCTCGTGAAGTTTTTAATTCCTAAACATTGAATGCATGTCTGTATAAACAAGGAGTCATCGTTACCATTTGGCTTGATGGGGTAAGTGTCGCACTTCGTACCGCAGCTAATGCGGCAGGTACTCTCGGTCCAGCCGTTGGTTCTTCAGTCACCCTGAGCAGCCCATGTTGGACAAGTTTTACGTTTGTCTACACATATCAGACCTGATTAGGAAAAAAGTGCATTGGAATAATTATATATGGAGTGCTTGTTCATATCTCGGGTAGCTAAAACTGAAACAAAACTAGTTTGTTTCAATCAGTTTATCCGTGCAGCTTTCTAGAGGGNGGGGGGGGGATAGGATTGCCCAAATAGCAATCCTATTCCCATTTTGTGGTTTCCGATTCTCAGTCCTAGTGAAAAAATAGGCAAATCCAAGTGCCCATTTCACCCCTTAAGGCCCCCCTTAAAGGAGAGTAAAGGGGACGAAGAATCGTGGTGGAAAGATCCATTCACATGTTCGTTACTAGGCAATGAACTTTCTCTGTAGAATATCAATGACTGTCAAAAGACAGTAGATCGTTAACAATGAAATTGTTTTCACCTGCAACATATATTTTTGGATTTGATTTCAAGCAAAACCAAACCGTTGACTGACGAGTTTCAGCTTAAAAATAGCAAATGAAAGGATTCGTTGTTTGTAATTAGAAACAAAGACGACGAGAGAGCAAATAAACCTACCCACGCCAGTTCTGTTCGGCAAAGTCGTTGGAACGGTGGGAATTCCTGTTATTGGCGGATTCGTTGGTGCTGGTGCTATGAAAGATAAGGAAAAATAAAGTATGTATTACGTATACTTCTACGGCCGTAATGAAACTTGAGCAAACTCAAACTAATGTACTGTTTCTGAATTACCTGGGCATACAACCAAGCTGTGTAATATATGTACAAAAATCATCCCTGCTGCATTTATAGTTTTGTTTCACGAAAATCAGTCGAGTAACACAAGTCAGCGCTTCTGTTCATCGTGTACTCCAGGGCCAGTGGTGTCCACGTACCTTAATCCTTACGTAAGGCAATATGGTGTACCAAGGCAAATATGGCTAAATTTCAAAATGCGTTGACCATTCTGTTACCTCGTTTACAACTGAATGCAACAGTTGCTTTGTTTCGGCTTTGAAATAGCCAGTAACTTGGCATTGCTTCCCGTTAAGCGACTAGCTAGATGCAATCCAAAATTTACGCACTGATCAGTCGAGTAAATGCGTCACCGAGCTTGCTTGAGAATAGAGGGAAACTTACATAGGGATGCTACAGCGGTTAATTTTCTTTTCTCTTTTGAAAGCATGTTCTCAGTTATAGGTTGCTGGTGCAGGAGCGACAAGTTGTCAGAAAATAGAAACACCAGCTTAGCCTGCTTGCATTTATTTTCTGTTTTGGCGAATTTAAGGAAAAGATCTAGAGGCAGGCATCTGCACCCCCACCCCCTCCCCCCCATCCCCCTCGCCCTCCTGTAAAATAGTTACTTTACAATAAGGTTGTCTACGGTTTTTGACCTTCCCAGGCGAAAATTTAATTGCACTTACTTGTACATTCATCACAGTAACCGCATGTGTGACGACACTCGAGTTCCATTGAAACTTTACTGCATTCACCATTTTTAGCACGCTGCTTACAGTCAGATTTTATATCGAGGCAGGTATCTGTGTAGACGAACGTAATTTGTCTTTTATGACGAGAAATAACAATGGGGGATCTGGTTATCTTGGGATACATGTACAAGTCAATAAGACCAGATTCACCGACAAGCATTCATCATCTCTCGACCAAACAATATATTAAATAAAATGAGGAACTTTTATATTACGCCTTTTTCAATCGCGAACTTGTTATGTGATGAACTTAATAGAAGAAGAGAACCCCTAAAGTAAACTATGTCTTTTTAAATCACAGACATATTTTAACATATTTACGATTTACACTGTGAAATTCTTTCATAACCTGGACTGAATGTCATTCGTAAGCGGATCTTCCGACCAAGTCTTACTTTTACCATTCGTACCTGACGAACAAAAATCACAAGTCTTTTTGCAATGATAAATCATTGCATCGTGCGAGGAGCAAAACCCAGATGACTTCCACATTTCGTAATCTTTTGACGTGGCTCTGTCCACGCAGATCTTGGGCGATGGGTCTGAAAATTAACAAAGAATTTTTAAGGAAAAAAAAAAACAAAGAAAGAAAATTGGTTTACTTTCTTTCTCCGGTGAGATGAAAAGATACTGAAAGTTCCTTTAAAGATTACTGAACGTCTTAGATATCTTTTGCCGTCCAGTTTTCTTAGATATGCGTTTTCTTCGCGTTCGCTTCCTTCATAGCAACTGACAGTTCTTGCGATCTTCAGCCCAGACACCATTTGATCGCTTAATGATCGTAGTTTGTCTTTGAGAAAAGTCGTTCGCTTTTCCTGCTGCCCTATAACATCGATCGTCTCAGCTGAGGCCCGGCAGATGATATCAATCGATATCGGGAAGAAGGAAATGATTAAATCCTGCTGTCAGTCTGAGCAGTTTCCCGGAGAAGGTTTACTTACTTGTGCAGGTTTTGCAAGTCTTGCAGGAATTGGGGCACTCCTTATCCATGTTAGCTTTGTCTGATGAACATTTTCCTTCAGTGGCCCATTTCTTGCACTCAAATTTCAGGTCCATACAAGCATCTGAAAAATGGGGAAAAAGATGGTGGAATTTTGTAGTAATATATCAAACACGGTCTTTGACCACATTTCCAAACACCGAGAAGAGAGCTGAAAATACGACGCGCAGCGGAGTATTTTTGATCATGACGAACTTCGAGGTTTTTGGAAATTTGGTCAAACACTGTCTTGAGTGTTTGATATATCTTCTCAATCGAAACTAAAGCTAAGGAGAAAACGGACAAACGAAATTGTAAAAATCTATGCTAATTAAGATCAGATATCCAAACACCATCTCGATCATGATTTCCTTTGTATAAACTTGACGAATTATTAATGAGTTTGAAAATGTTGTTTCTCAAGAAATGGCTGAAAAATTATCAAACTATTTTGGGCAAAAACATTCGAAAAGGGCTTTTGTGATGTCACTTTACCATTCGTGGTCGGCAATAGAATGTCACAATTTTGCTGGTGACGAACGATTGAATTAAGACGGCCTGCGTGGTATATAAAACTGCTCAGTCACTCAGTTTATTTGAATGTCAGACGCACCAGATTATGTTGTATAATCTCCAACGTTAGAGTCGCCTAATGCTTGCCTGGTACCATTAGCCGATCCAGTCAGTTATATCCCTTGCTATGGTTTAATAGTCTTAGTATTGCATTATTGAAACAATAAATCGTCTTGCAATTTTACCACGATGAATTATTTAATATGTTTTGACACTTACTAGATGTACAAAATCCACAAGTTTTCTTGCAGTGGTAAATCATGGACGAATGTTGTGTACAGAACCCAGCATCTCTCCAGCCCTCGCAGTCAGGTGTATTGGCCCTGTCCGCACATCGTTCGGGTGCTGTATAGGCTAAAACAACGTTTGCCAGAATTAAAAGGAAACACAACAATTAATCCACAAATGCAATACATTTTCATTATACTTGGGAAAGTCAGTTTTAGGGTATCATTTTTTTTTTTTTTTACCTTCAGCTCCCCTCTCGGCACGACCTAAAAAGTAATACATAAATTAATGAACAAATTATCTAAGAAATCAACTAAGTATAATAAAGTAAGAAATCTAAGGCACATGTATATTTCGTATATTAATATTTTATTTCATGTTGTTCACTTGTCAGCTATGGATGAAATATAACCCTGTAATTAAAAGTAACGGTTAAACTGTACACAAAACATATTTTGGAGTTTTGGAGTTGAGAGAATACAAAGCAATCTTAATTATCTTCTAACAAATATCTCTATAGTAGTGGCCTGCCTCCCTAATTTAAAAATGCACTTAATTGTGTAACCGTCGGCATGCTAATTTGCACGCTAATGGTAGTACAGTGTATACGTAAGTAGAGGA